TCTGTTACGTAAGGAAAAGAGGTTGAGGCTCCTTATGCTTTCCTTTCAAGTCGAATGTCAGAATCGGGTAAGGTAGCTTATGTCATAGGAACAACAGGTGGGGACCTAGCGCCCGGTGACTTATGGAATAATACCTAGTATATCTATTATCAGGGATAGTGAACATGATAGAGAGTGAGTGCCAAAAGGCATTTTATGAAACTATTGTTTAGTCACAAGGTTCTTGAACTTAGGCTTAGGCTTAATTTTATCCCAAAACACTATCAGTTTAGAGAAAGAAAACCTAGTCTGTTCTTCTCCAGCAGAGAATGCCTTATTTGATTGCTTTTATATCGCTACTAGTTTCCTTCTGTTGTATGAATCAATATAAGAGAAGTTCAACAAACAAGGTAGGGAATAACTGGCACTACCGATCAAGTCTTTCAAGCTAGATTCCCTATTATAGTAAGCTCTTCTCCCGCGAGAATGGCTCTAGCATTGAAAGTTGAAGAGCTAATTCGTTAAAGACGTGGCAGACGCAGAAGTAGTCGGAATTGGTGTTGTGGAAGTCTTTGGGGCAGGCGTATCCGTAGGGGCCACTATATAGTAGGCAAGAAGTAGGCACATGATAGCTCATATTGATTGAATCAATCGTACGAGTGCTTTTTTTCAGTTAAAGCCCAAGTCCTTATGCTTAAACTTTAACTGATGCCCGGGAGTCAAGCAGTTATGGGAAAAGCGGATTCCATATCTTTATTACTAGTTTTATCTAGCAGTGGAAGTATAGTCATCCGCAACAAGAGAGAGAGACATTGCAGTCGAGTGCCCAACTCTTTCATTCTTTGCGGTTGAGTCATCAGTGATCGTAAGAGAAGTGGCCTAGTTTATCGGATATTGGATTCCATGCCTTTACCACTTAGCTTTGAAGTTGAATGCCAAATAAATAGGATAAGGCTTGGGCTAAGACGCCTTAATTCATTGGGTGAAGCACCTGCAAACATGGAACCTCTTTCTCCTTTTCTTTGTCAGGAAGTAAGTAAAGATAGATTCCCTTAACTATGGTTCACCTTAAGCTTTCAAGCTCAACCTAGTTGTTCGGATATAATACTTTCAGTCAAGAAGGATCCCTCTACTTCTTCTACTATGTTCACGAATGCTGTGTCAAGTGAAGTTTCAACTAGGAATTCGTTAGCTCACCTCAGCCAAATCATCGAAACTCTCACAATAAGGTACGAAAGTTTCTTTGGCAGTAGTCGTAGTTTATCCAATATAAAATGTCGTTGTAGCTATAGTTGCAGTAAGGGAAAGTTAATCATACCTAGTTCAGTCTCCAGGTTCAATAGATGCCATGCCTCTTTATTCCTAGTTAAAGAGGGAAAACAAGGTCTATCACTACAACTGAGCTTGCCCTAGCATCTCTGTTAAAAGAATTCAAAACAATTAGAAAAAAATTATGTCTGAGAATATAGTAAGAAGGTATCTATACCAGGAATCTACACGAATAAATATTTATTTGATGCCCCCGAATCAATAGGGCACTAGCACTTCGCCCACCACACCACACTTCCTCGATCTCTCCATAAATCTGTATTTGATGCCCCCGAATCAATAGGCCCCACCGCCACTCAAGGATAAAAGGAATAACATGAGTAGACAGTGGACGTCTTTGCGTGCTTTGCTTAATCTAGTTCGGTTGAGAAGTAAGGTAGGACATAGCCACCATTTGAGCCCTAAACTATAGAGGTCGTTTCAGAGGGTGCCCAGTGAATAGAAAAATACCTTTACCAGGAACATACCACCTTTTCTTTTAGACAATTGAGAAGTGAAGTTGAAGTCTCGAAGAAATCTAGGGAAGAAGTTTAAGAAGGTTCGGGAGCTACCCCAGTAGTAATAGGAGTTGTCATAGAAAGTCTTTCTCTTTTTTCTTTATCTCAAGTCAGTATGTAGAGGGATTGCATGGAGATAAAGACTTCTTTCACTCTATCTTCTATTTATCGTATTTCTGCAGAAATTGTTTTAGGATTAGTTGCGGGATAGCTATATAAAGAAAACCCAGGTAGCCGCAGCTTGAAAGTCTAATATGAAACTAGCATTTCGACAAGAGAGAAAACCCTAACCCGGTTAGTAAGAGAATAAATCCCCTTCCTTCTTTATCAGATTATGCAAACCCTAACTTAAGAGAAAGAACCTATTCAAAGGTAGTTGTACTTTGCCCGGGAGTAGTTGCTGGAGTGGTGTCACCTTGTATAAAATAGATCCGGATTTGATAAGTGTTCTTATTATAGCATATTCGAATTCATTATTCTCTGTCTCAGTCTTAGAAAAACCTGGTATAATAGCCCCAAGGTAGCAGCTTGCTGATGGCATTAAGATAGATCGGTGGTTGGCTTACTGCTTGCTTATGCTTACTCCCACAGCAGCTGCCCCTTCTATCTCGTACTAAGAGACTTCTCCCACAAAAGATCGATCGAAGGCCCAGGAAAGTGAGTGTCGCGAATTCCATTGTCAGTTAACATCAAGAGTTGTCTTTTCCGGGTAGGGTTCGCTTCGGGAAAGGAAAGCTTTGGTCGGAGAGTTCTTCGCATTGAGTGAGGGTAGCTTCATAGACTCAGTCATTTTCATTTAGAGACTCAATGGAAGCTGTTTATTGTTCTAAGGAATGGGAATGAATTCTCTTCCTTTAGGAATAGAGTAGGCAATAAAAATGGTTTTCTCTTCTAGTCGATCTCTATAAACAAAATGGCATGGGCAATAACCCTCATCATATACTGTAGACCATTAGGCACCCCTCAACACTCAGATTTGGCAAATGCAGCCAGAGTCGCCTTAGCCTTACTGGCACCTCCAAGAAGTATACCACATGTTCATGATGTTCATGCGCAAGCAAGTGTCAGCGGGTCATTCTGAATAAATAAAAGAAAAAGAAATGACTTAGGGTATGGGTTCTGAAGAGGGCTTCTCCTTTCGCAGTTTGGTCTTCTTCCGATCCGAGGAGCTCAGGGCTCTAAGCTAAGTACTTGCGCTTCGTACCAATATATATTCTCGTTACAAAAAATGAAATGATGAAGGAGCGGGTTGGCCTTACCTATATTTGATAATATAAATGGGAATGCGGCTAGTCCAAGATCTAATGTTGGATATACACTAAAGATCTTTTGGTAGAAATCAAACACAAGGGTTTGAAATCTGAAAGAGAGGAGAAGGAAATTGAACAAAAGGGAGACTTCCTAATTCATTCCATATTTCACATTCCCCTAGGGCACCCCCTTTGCTACTCATACTCGTAGAGTGAAAAAATTCTGCGAGCTTCGCAGTCGGGCACTTTCCCACTTCCTTTTTAGCTTTGTGCTTCAATACTAGTCCAAAGGCATCTTACACACGAAAGACGGGGACCAACCCTCTCTCTCTCTTTCTCTCTCTCTCTCTCTCTCTCTATCTATCTATCTATCTAATACATCTCAGCGGTAGTTCTTCTCAATCAGCGACCTATCCGCATGTAAGCAAGGAATTTCGTCAATCTAATATTATCTAATATTAGTAGAAAAATAGCATTGGTGTCTATTGTTATTAGAAGAGTTGCCTCCCCTAGACAGCCTAACCGAACAAAAATAGAAACTCTCAGGAAATAAGCAACCTAATGCTATTTGTTATGATTGGTAACTTCCCAGCTTCATATATCGATTTATGCCTTGATAGACTCCTTAAGCACCCTTGGAAATAAGGAAAGCATTCATCCCAGGCAACTCCGCAACTACAAGACAGTATCCTCTCTGTAGTGTAAAGCACCCCCTTAGATTCATCTGAAATCAATTCTGATTCAACTGGAAATGCTCTTTCCAACTCCCTCGATAAACGCTAGCATGCAGCTCCAAGAGCTACCATGAGGTAAGAGCTCTAACTAAGCTTCCAAACCAACAGGACTCACGAAGGGGTCCAGGATAGACAAGAAGGGAGGGGCAGCCTCCCTGAAAAGTAAAGAGTGGGTTGTCCCCTCTTCAACATTTCTACTACTTCCTTGTCACCCCCTTTTCATGGATCTCCTTGTTCTCTTTCAAAATTTTCCTCCATACCTTCGCCGCCTTCATCATCATGTTGTTCTATCCTTTAGGGATGTTCGGAAGATGCTAGGGCCTCCTAAAAAATCCTTCCAACAAGAATGTTGCTTGAACATTGTAAGCCATTGAACCATCCCGCTCTTTTGAACACTGATCATAAGTGGCAAAAGCCACTGGAATCCTCATTTTTTGTCCATAAGTTCTCCTCGCTACTGTAATAATTTTCAATTTATTTTTTTACTATACACTAACGCAGATGATTGCCCCCATCTATCAACGAGGGACCCCCCAAAAGGCGAATAGGAAGATTCAAGTGATCTAGGATCCCACCTTTCATCGAGATGAAGGTGTAGTTTTTACTAGGAATCCCAGGGTTGCTGATCAGGTGAAGTAGTAGTTTCTGGGCAGAAAGGATTCACTCGTGATTATAGGCCCAGCAAAGGGAAAGTGTACAGGTCTTCCTTCAAAAGAGACAAGGTTTTTCATTGCTCCAGAAATTAACGTAGTTCACGATGGGCGTTGGGGCCCCTACCATTAGCTCTCTATAGGGATCTGGGATTTGGTATTGAATCAATCCTTAACTTCGTTTAGCACTTCAGAAGTCATATTCAATACCTAATTCTATTGAGTTGATTCCATCCCCTTTACTTTGTTTACATTCAGTAGCTGCTTGCTGGTGTCCATTCAGGTTAGGAACTCCTGAATAGGCAACCACCCTCATCAAACTAAATAACATTACTCTAATCCCTCGCCCAAGAGGCAGGAGAGACCTTGAGTCCAGGCTGTTGCATCACCCTCACCTCTGATTCGGTCAATAGAAAGACTAGCACAACTGCTAGTGCTAAGGTCTTTATCGGAGGGGTGGAGATCACGCAACCCGATCTCTTGAACAATGGCATGGTGGCTATTCATCGCCTTCAAGGTTTCACCTCTACACTCTTTACATTTTCTTGCGACGTGGAGAGGATGACCTCGCTCTTGTTCCCGTTCCATTCAGATCATCATTCTGGTCAACATATCCAGACTTCTGGCTCGGTGCAGCCCGCTATCATGCGCCTGATACTCAGAGATGCCATACTCCGGCTCTGTAACAATGACTTCAGCATCCTATCCCTCGCTATAAAGGTGAAGTACGTCGAGCTTGTGAATCTTAACAATACAATATGACGGTCTTCTCCATTAACAACCTTTCGATCATCTCCGGTTCTCACTCTTATATCATATCAGCAACGTCAGGTTCCACATTGTGCCAAACCATTTCATGTCAATCGCGGATCTGGAGAAGCTTCCCGTGGGGCTGCTCTGCTGACATTGGAACGAGGCAAACCGCTTCTTATCACAACCTCTGGTGCCGGTAGAGGTTTAACCTCGACGCCGATGAGGATAAACTATGTGAGGATTAAGGTGATGGACATCATCCGCAACGTCAAGCTCATGGTGCACAGTGTGTACTTGCCATTTCCACATATTAATCTTGTGGCTGCAGCTTACGACAGTATCCTAGGAGGCTCAAAAGTCTTAGGAGGAGATTAGATGATGGAAGGAACTTGTGCTGCTCTATATATGCATGAGGTTGTGGTGAGTCCCCGATGCCTCAGGTCAATCCAATGGTGGATATCGAAGATCACCATGGCCTGTAATTAATCCTGAAAGTGTTGCTTTGGTGACACGTCTCCGTTTATTTGTTGTCTTTTTGTGGACAGTCAAAGATAGAAGAAAGGGGCCGAGGAAGGGAAACCCCTTCGAGTACCAATCCGGTCCATGTGCTGGCTTGGCATGGAAAGCTACCTGAAAAGTATTTATTGCGGCTTGTTTTAAGCTCAATGCTTAGGGCAGAGTTATGGCTTTACCCCTTCTTAATCTAGCATTGCTACTCTTCTTTGGGAGCAGACCGACAGCCCACTACTTGAACTCACTTTGCTCTCGTTCGGCTCACTCCCGCCTGTCTTCTTCCAACCATAGTTCGCTTTAAGAAAGATCCTTCATTTCACTATAGCTGGAACCTCACTGATATTCTTGGGCAATTACTCTCAGCATGGGTCCCCGCCAACTTGACCTTTCCCTTCCCTCCCAAAGTCCGTCGGGCCTACGACAACCTGTGGCAATCATAGCAGGACTAACGAGATCTTTATCTCCCTCTTTTGTTGGTTGTTGACCAAGGGAAAGAAAGGGAGAAATAAATGGGATTGTGTCAATAGGCCCCTCTTTCGGAAAAAAAAGCTCGCTTCTCTTTGTCTTCGAGCTTGAGTTCTTTAATCCACTAACATACATAATTTCTTTTTTTTTTCTTTTATATTGTGTAACCCAAAGCACATTCCTTTAAGAATGTATTTGGTTCCATTTTCTTTCGTTACTTAACCCACCTTTTCTAAAAAGGATTGTAGTAATTCTGTTTTTATACTCTTTAAATTGGCTCTCGCATATTGAGAAATTATGTCTAGTGGTATTCGATCACAGGATCCATTAATAGTTGCATAAATGACTAAAAAAATTCAATTGGAAGTGGGGCATATTGTGATAGTTTTGGTACTTCTGTAAGCCTTGCACCTCTATTGAGTAATGCCTAAGTCGCAGCATCTAGGTTTGACCCAAATTGAGCAAGGTCGGCCACTTCTCGATATTGTGCCAATTCCTGTTTTGAACTACCGCAGACTTGTTTCATAGTTTTCAACTGAGCGGCAGACCCAACACGACTGATAGATAAGCCGACATTAATAGAAGGTCTACTTCTGTGATAAAAGAGGTCTATTTCCAAACAAATTTTTCCATCAGTAATGGGGATCACATTAGTAGGAATATAGGCTGATACGTCTCCAGCTTGTGTTTCAATGACGGGTAAGGCGGTCAAGCTACCTGCGCCTGTCTGGTCTGATCGTTTACCAGCTCTTTCTAAGAGACGGGAATGTAAATAGAAAACATCCCCTGGGAAAGCCTCACGTCTTGGTGGTCGGCATAACAAATATGACATTTGTCGATATGCCACTGCCTGTTTACTAAGATCATCATAGGTTATTAATGTGTGCATTCCATTATTGCAGAAATATTCTCCCATGGCACAGCCAGAATATGTGGCCAAAATTTGTAGAGGAGTAGGATCCGTGTCAGTGGTTGCTACCAGAATGGTATATTATATAGCATTCGCTTCTAAAAGAATTTGAACTAATTGTGCCACAGTTGAGCATTTTTGTCCAATCGCTACATAGACATAATAAAATGTCTCACTCTCATAGGTGATCCTTGAGTTCATCTTCTTTTGGTTTAATATGGTATAGATAGCAATAGCTGTTTTTCCAGTTTGTCGCTCCCCGATTATAAGTTCTCATTGACCACGGCCTCTAGGAAGCAGGCTATCTACAGTTTTTAACCCAATTTGCAAAGGGTCGTGCACAGATTTACGTTCAATAATCCCAGGGGCTTTCACTTCGACATATCATCGCTCGTGATTTCTTAGAGCCCCTCTTCCATCAATAGGTACTCCCAAGGTGTCGACCACACGCCCTAGCATATCCTTTCTCGTAAGGACATCCACAATTGAGCCAGTGCGCTTGACAAGATCTCCTTCTTTAATAGTAGTATCACTACCAAAGACAACAATCCCTACATTCTCATTCTCAAGATTCAAGGATATTCCTTTCACACCACTAGCAAATTCAACCATTTCCCCACCTTGAATCTTGTTCAACCCATAAACACGTGTAATCCCATCTCTAACTGAGACCACTCGACCAATCTCATCTACTTGAAAATTCTTGTAAAAGTTGCTATTTCTACTTTCTAATAGAGTCATTAGTTCAACAGCTCTCGGAAAGAATTCCATGATTCTATTTATTTTGGGCTATATATAAGGGGGAATACCGCTTTTGTGAGAGTCATTAGTTCAATCTTGTACTACTAGAACTAGGAGTTGAGGTAGCACGGAACACCAACACAGTCCTTTGTTAATTGTCTGTGAGCTCCTTCTTCTTTCGTGAAAACATATGAGTCGTTATGTTAAGCATCTAATCCTTTTCTTTATGTTATCTGTGTAAGAAGACTTGGATGTCCCTCATGTTGAATAGTCTGACATCAAGTTGTTAGGACCTGAGTCGATATGCGAACACTTAACACAAGACTGAAATCAAGCTAGAGTGGTTTATGAATCAGTCATCAAGGATCTTAGCCAAACGGTGACCAGCTACCTAAGCACTTTGGGCATAGGTTCCTCGATCAGACTTGACGAATTGTCATAAAGACATCACTCTACTTTATATATATAATAAAATTGGATTATAAAATAGAAAAAGAAAAAGAAAAAAGAAAACTAAAGTCATTTTGAAACACAAAACAACTATAATTTGAAGTTGTTGAAGTAGAAAATGCTTACTGCTTGCTTAGCGCACGGATCATATGCTATCTCGATCAGCAAAAAGTGATCGAATAAAGCATTTGTTTGTACAACACGCTCTCAAACCTCACGCTTTATCATGCACAGAAAAGATGTTGACTCAAAGAAATCGGTCACAAAGCCTATTTTTCCGGGTCAAGAAGCTCTCGAAAAGACCCGATCCTTCCCTAAAAACCACTAAACACAAAGTGGTTTTGTCGTATCCTCTAAGAACGTTATAAGAGAAAGACGGCAAAACAATTCACACACACGCATTCCACGCTTCAAGAAACAAGAAATACTCAAACAAACTCGCTCTTGCTTAATCCGCATATATGGAACTCTTTGATTTGAACTACTCCGAATTCAGCGATGAACTCACATTTTTCCCCTGGGGGGACTCTTGCTTCTGTCTTCCTCTTTTTGGCATATGGTGGAAATTCTCTCTATCTATCAGTTTCTTCTACTCTATGCCTACTAAAAGCTTAACCATTCCCTACCACCAAGAACATATTCTCGCCATCTATTTAAAGGAAGAACTCATTCTTCAACAAAATAAATCGTTGCTCCTAGTCTAACAGTTCGCTCCACACCTTAAGAGAAAGAGTTCTAGCATACTACTCTATTATGATGTTGAGGGTACATCACTACTTTGAGAGTTAGGCCTTTATTCTGATGTGCCTGGTCATGAGTATATTGATTTCCTTAAACCCATGTAGTGAGTTGTATAGGTGGCGTGTTGAAATTAGGACCATACATTGGGCGACTTTTCTCCTCATCGCTAACCTGTTTCCAAGAGGGGGGAGAGAAGGTCTTGCAAGTTGGAGAGCATATGAGATTTATCCATCGCATCATTGCATCTATTGACTAAACAAAGTAACTTTTGAAGTGGATTGGGAAGGAATGTAAATAGGTATTTCAATTGTTGGACTAAATGAATAGGCACGAAAGACAAGGCACTTGACTGAAAGGTCCTACCCGACTCATTCTTAGGACAGGCTTAGCTCAAGCTACCTAAAATGAAGAAATTGTACAAGGGAGAAATCCTATTTCACAAAGTAACTTCTCAAAAGTTGAAGGCGTAGTATTGATTGCTTGTGTTGGACTACCTTTATAGGATAGATATGATATACTGTTAGATTTTGGTTGGACTACTTTGTATGGAATTCACTAAGATTGAATTTAGATATTGCAATTCCGGTATAGCATTTACTGTTCGAGATTTCTGGTATGTAATTGACTCGTATATAAAGAAAGAAAGTCTTTCAATTCCTAGTTCGATATTCCAGATATTCCATTAGAATGACTGATGTTGGACTAGCTGACATCCCTAAGCTTTGTCGTATTGCATTAGAAAGTGGGGAATTCCATCGTCTTTGGTATGTGAATTTCAAGCTGCTACTGCTCCGATAGCTGCTTTAGAGATTGCTTAGCCGCTATCTGACTAAACTAGCTGGTTTAGATTTCATTAGTTGAAAGTCTCACACTATTTACACTATTTCAACAAAGACTGTGTAAAATGGATATGATATAAGGGAAGAATTGACCTATTGGCTGGCTTCTCAATTGAGAAAAGACTGGAATGAAATTGGCAATGATCTATTTAGTTTTCATATAGTTCGCAATCCTATCTTCGGTCCTAGCTGAATTCTGTCTTAGCTTTACGGCAAAGGGATAGGCTTAGCCTATTGAATGAGGAGAGCTAGGATGCATTCACCTGTAGTCGTACTATGACTTTCTGAGGGATTGAACTCTATTCGTACTATTTGATATCATCTAGCAAAGAAGTCAGCTATGGGCAAGACTTGGGGCGGGCCACCAAAACGGGTTTAGCCAGTTAGAGCTGAAGGGCTCAATTATTGGCTTGGTCTAGGATTTCAATTGTAGCAGTTCTTTTTAGCATTTTTGGTATAACAGTAGGTCAAAGTTGGGTTCACGGTCAATGGAGAGTTTACGGCCGTAAACCCAGTTTCCGGCCCATGTCTTGTTTACGGTCATTGTCGATTATAAATAAGGGTTGTGTAGGTCTTTATTAGTTGTTGATGCTAGGCAGTTCACGGCCAAGTGTAAACAACTTGTACCTGACGTTTTCAAGTAATAAACGTGTGCAAGCTTGTTTCAATTCTTCTTCTACTCATAATCTTGTTTCTGTGATTGCTTGATCATTGGTAAAGATCCGTTTTAGGACCTTACAATTGTTATCAGAGCTTGGATTGTATCAGTCAATTTTGTCAGATCTGGAGCTTATTTAATCTCATTTTTGAAAGATTTTTGCATTTTTGGATAGATCTCTAAAAATTAGGGGGGAGGGGGGGATTGTTCTTTGTGTTTTTCATAAAAACGAGTTTTGGATAGAGTTTTGGAGCAAAAAGGGGAAAAAATCGTTGTTTTTGGTCGTAACTAGCGAGAGGGTGGCGGCGTTTACGGCC